TTAGCTCGCTGGTAAAATGTTTTTCTTTTCCACAACAAAAAAAAACAAACAACAACATCAAAACTACAAATGACCAGACAATTGATTCACGGAAGACATCCAGTCCATGGAACCGAAGTTCCTTACAGCAAATATGCCTCCCTCTTTTTCAACATGATCACTCAATTCATCCCTCTTGGTACCATGCTCGCAATGAGCCACTTTAATGTTAACATTCCTGCTCAAATGTTGATCTTACCACTAGTCTATCTTATTTGTGGTGGAAGATGGACTTTGTGCTATCACAATTTACTTCACCAAGAAAAGTCATTGAATCCAATTGTTGACCTCTTGCTTGGAGTTGGATTCGGTCACTTGTTAACCTTCAAGCCAGGAAAAATTGGCCACGATTCTCATCATCATTTCAACTATGGCCAAGATAGCAGAAAGTACTCAATGGACATTGCACAAGATTACTTGACACCATCAGATATTCTCTACAGACATAAGCAAATCATGCAAAGAGATGCTGATTATTGGTGTAAATCATCTCCAAATCGTTGGGTGTTATTCATGAGAAGTTCACTCTTTGATTTTAATTATATCAGCTTTTATTTGAAGAAGAAGAGAGACATGAAGTGGAAGTATGCTCCAATGACCTTTGCTAGATTGGTATTGCTCTTGGCTCCATTCTTGCTAATGAATCCTATTGCTTATTTAATTCATTTGGTAATGTGTAGACTTGTCATGACTGTAATCTTTATGGTTTTCACAACATTAGCTCATGAAGAAGGATGGTTCGATTCATTGGTTGACAACTTTTATCCTTTCCAACAAACCGTGGACATTAATCTTGTTCTTGAAATTTTGATTGGATATCACATTCATCATGTCAATGAGCATGACAATCATCATATTTTCCCAAAGAGAGATGTCAGTATGTTGGAACAAATTAGTATCCCAAGAAGAATGATCAACTTTTTTGCAAATTGTTTCGCCAAGTTTGTCAATTATTCATTCTCCAAATTAATGAAAAGAAAGTCATCCTCTACAAATTATTCAACCATTCCTCAACCAGTCGTTATCTTCAAAGCAATATAGAGTCACAAAACACAGCCACAATTCTTTGTAAATTTTCACTCAAAATTAAATTATAAAAATACCTATTTCTACTAAAACCAAGTAAAATTAATATGAAAGAGCTAGCTAATATAGAAGTATTGCAACTCCATAGCCTGAAAGTTTTTCAATTTTATTGTGAGTTGAAACATCAAAAAAAATGGCAGAATACGTTCCTCATGGTCTTAACGTGACGGAATTATTTGCCAGAGGTGCCTATGGAAGCTTATACCTCTCTCGGATGGTTCTGCCATGAAAGTTGTGCGGTCGGATAATTTAGCAAATGAATTTTTACACAAATATTTAGTGCTAACTAAACTTAAATTGAATCAAAAATATGTCCTACTTCCAAAAAAAATCACTCCAAAAGAAGATTCAATAGTAATGATAATGGATTATGCTAAAGAGGGAGATTTGAAACAACTCATTAAAAGAAAGTATGAATTTACAGTGACTGAAATGTTGCAAGTGGCTTTGGGAATTAATGAACTACACAAGGAGAGAATTATCTATGGAGATGTGAAACCGGCAAACTTTGTAAAGGATGGAGATTGTATTAGGTTGATAGATTTTGATTGCATTGAGATGTTGAGTGAGGACCTTGAGGTGGAGAATGGAATAGAATATATTGAGTGTTCAGGCGCTATTGGAACCATAAGCTACCTTGCACCTGAGTCATTTGAGAGACTATCTCTTCCTTCTGACGTGTTTTCTTGTGGAGTTTCTTTTTTTGAAATGTTGACAGGTCAAACCTTGTTAACTCATCCAGTACTAGGAGCGAGAACTCTGGGAGAATTGTGCAGTTCTGCTGAAGATTGGCTACATGATAATGTGTCACTTCTCCTCAAAACACATTCTCACATCAATAAGATTGTTCAAGCTCTAATTATTCAAATGTTGTCACTTGATCCAACAAAGAGACCTAAAATCAATCAAGTTTGTGATATTTTACAAAGCTTGACAGGATACAAAATGAAAATGAAATCAAAAATCCTATTGACACCAATGAAAGATTCGAAATACTTGAAAGGACAATCGGTATTGGTAAGGGTGTTATTGCTAAGGTGAAGGATAAAAAGCTCAATATGGTGGCTGCTTTGAAAACTTACAGAGAGAGTACAGTTTCTAATGATTTACCCAGACTAATTGAGGCATTCAAAAGAGCAAAGGAGTTTAATCATCCCAATGTTGTTCGTTATTTAGATTATGGAGTGTTGGAACAATCATTTGAGAATTTACATTTCGTTGTGATGGAATTAGCTCCACTGGATTTGGAAAAATATATTCTAAACCATTCAGTAGTAAATTCCGATTCTGGAAATGAAAGATTTCGAATTGGAGAAGTATCTCAGAACAAAAATAGGGAATATAGTCTATCGTTGAAGGAAGTTACTTTACTATTCAGAGATATTCTGAAAGGATATGATTACTTACATCAGAACAAGATTATTCACAGAGATTTGAAACCTCAAAACATTCTCATATATAGAGTGCAAGGTGAAATAGTTCCTAAAATTTCGGACCATGATGAATGCAAGATTTCTGAATTGGATCTTGTGAGGACTACAATGATTCAGGGTACAAGAGAGTATGCAGCTCCAGAATTATTCGAAAAGCATCTTTCGAATAATAATCTGTATGAAACAGTTGATATTTACTCATTGGGATGCATTTATTTATTTGTTCTAATCAAGACCTGTTTGGAAGTGGATGGGAAAACATTCTTCGATTGGATGATTGTTAATCAAGAGGAGAAAGTTCACAACTTTATTAAGGAAAGAATTGAGATGTTGTACAAAAACACAAATGAGAAAATACGAAACTGTATCATTCGCTTATTATACTGCACAATCAAAAAGTCACCTCTTAGAATACCATTGAAGGATTTTTATGCAGTAATCAAATATATCTTGAGCTTAATGAATCACTCTGAAACAGCAGATTTATATGAAGATGTCATTAATGATTCTTTAATGGAAGAAATATTGAAAAAGAATGAAAAATAACTTGTTGTCATCTAAAATTATTCGAAAAGTTTTCCTATTTTTGAACTTTTGTATTGTTTTGATTCCATTTCAATAAATTTGATCT